TGGCCGCCACTGGAGTCACATGGGGAATGCAGCTTCAAGGTGCACTTTAAAACACTACTTTGCAAGTCCAAATAAATTAGATTCATTATCCTTACAATCAAATTAGAAAAGCTTAAATCTAGTTCTCAAGTTAATGTCAATGAGGCCTCTGGTTCTGTAGAAAGGCTGTGGGTTCAAATTCTGAGTTCATTCAACTAAGTGGACCAAAAGTTGAAACATTTAAAGTTATTACCATAAAAAAAAAAAAGGCTATAATTGTGAAACAAAGAGAATACGGAAGTCTACACACTAAAAAAAGAAAAAATTAATAATTAATTACTGTTTTACCTGCAGGTACCTTATGTTAGTTCAAGTACAAAGTTGTGAAAGCTTTTGACCTAATCCAATCCTAATGCATCCAATTAGGACATGAGTAACGGTTTGACACTGACGAGACAAAAATTAAGGAGCATAATGTTGTAAGAGTTAAAACATAAAGTACAAAAATGGTTTAGTTTTCTTTCATGAATTGGATTAGACTAATTAACCTTCTGGTTTGCCCACAAAACTACATTTGTTGGAAAACCCACTTGCTTCTCATCAATTATTAAATGAAGGTGCATTAAGATGTGGAAAACAAGAATAACGTACAGAGTCCTGTTGAATGCTCAGTTGGACAACCAAACACATATCATCATTTACTAAAAGCCAAAACACATCAAAGCTTACAAAACATCACATGGAATCCATACAAGCATACATTATATTGTCCGAGGAACCATAAAAATAAAATCAAATAAAACTCATCTAAAAATGTAAAAACACGATTACGTTTTTAACTCATAATCATATATACTGGAATATTGAAGCTCATGCTGCTGCATCTGCACCAAAACAAGTGGAAAAAGTATATATCAGCAGTTTATAAGATTGAAAATGATGGTACTAATAAGATTAGGGTGGTTGTTCCTACATAGGAGACACGAGCAGATTAGATGGGGTCTTAGATGGAGAAGGAAGAGTCTTTTTGATCATCTAATCCATTTGACATTTCCTAGTTGGATTCATGTTTTGAGTAGGATTTACTACCTAATTTGTTTGAGGGAACTGGTGAAGACTCTCCCTCGTGTCTCGTCCACCCAACTTACTGACCTACCAAATTTCTGCTTCATTAGTTGGCCACTCAAGATGATTTACTAGTAATTATGAGGGAAGAGGTGGAGTTGAGCAAAGCAAAAAGGTGGATGCGTGGGTGCTGTAGAATGGCCAAACATTGGATCATGTTTTGTTAGGAAACAGAAAAGCATGAGGTGGGGTTCGGATATTGCGGTGCCTGGTTCCATAAAACAACTAATTAAGCAATTTGAGGTTGGGGGAAGGAAAAGTGAGGGAGGTGTAGGCTCTGCTGTTTTTTTTTTTTTGGTTTTGGGGACAGAATATTGCTTGAAATTTGTACAGACGAAAACTTATTTCCATAAAGTAGCAATATGGTAAAATCAAAATGTAGTCAAGGTACCTGGAGTTGGAAGGAGAGAACCGAATTCAGAAGCTTGGTTAAGAACAACAGGCTTGTTGGGGCAGTCTGGCTTAGAGTCAGAGGCAGAGCCCTTGCCTTCAGCGTCTGGATGGATCTTCTTCTTCAGCATCCTCCTCATCATCTGTCATCAGATAGATCTCATAAAATGACTAATTAGTCTGAAAATTTATAAAACTCAATCATTAATATATGTTAATGTACACACATATATATGTACTCACTTTTTGTATCTTTTTGAGGGGGCGAGCATCCTCTCCAGCATGAGGAATGAGTTTCTTGGCAAAGGACAGGCCGTTTTTTGTCTTTGGAAATGCCTTTGTCCCAGAACTCATCCGCTTGAATTCCTTTGGACTCGGCTTCTTTTTCATAGCAGAATCAGAATCCTCCGAAAACAGTTCAGCCAGGGTCGTTCTTCTCTTCAATTTCCCTTGATCATCCAGGTGATCAAGTTTGATTGCATGAGTAGAAGACGCCACTGGTGGAACAGCACCCAATACAACAAAATCATCAACGCTCATTATCTCAATATCAGCAGTTTTTCCACCAGCCTCCTCGCAGCATATGTTGAACATCAATGGATCCACTTCTTCATTTTCAGTATCAGTACTGCTGTTGTTGTCATTTTCATGTTGGACGCTGTCGTTGTTCAGTCCATATCCGTCTCCTTCCTCTGCTTCTTCGTCACTCTCCGAAGTAGAGTAGTCTTTCTCTTGGTCCAACTCCAGCTTTGTGAGAGGATCAAAACCGAAGGTTCCAATGGTGAGAATGCCGCCGTATTTCCAGCCATCCAGCACGTCCACAAACGCTACTTGTTCCATCAAGGCTTTTGTGTTGCCGTGAATAGCAACGGAATCGGTCTTCTTCACTTTTCGAGCCACCCCATCTGCACTCGTCCAAATATATACTAATCATTAAATAATTAATAACAAGACATTAAACCATGAAAATTAAGAATGTCTAAAACCTTTGAGAAGGTTAGGATGAAGCCGCTTCTGTACCCAGTTGAAGATCTATTACAGAAACATGAAGAAAATTAATTAATCGGCAACTTGATAGGGTAATAAACCATGAATATGAGAGACTTAGTTGAAGAATTCTAACCTTCATTTTTTCTCAGCCAACTTGTTTGGTAACACAGGCAATGTGTGAGGGGGAAGACTAAAAGGGTAGTAGAGAGCTAAAAGGGGTGCCGTGACAAAAGGCTGAAATAGGACCTAGAACATAGGCTTTGTTCGAGGGTGCATGACATGTTTGAGGAGCCATTATGTGCATAAATGTTGCCTCTAAATGGCTTGATCGATGAGCCAAAAATTCCAACATGACATTCACCAAAAACAGTGGCTCATCCAAAATGACATTCACCAAAAACAGGTAACTCATACCAAAATGTGCAGATTCATCTAGTGCTTTTTCTAATTTCGCCTTCCCTTTTTACTCTTCAATGCCAAAGTTTAATTAATATAGAAATACGAACCAATTTTTTTGATCTAATGATTCGTTTTTAAATCTTAATATTTGAATTGAGTTAGTCGAGAATTTTTATAAGTTAGACTTACTCTCTTTCCTTTCTCCCTAAAAATTACTCTTTTTTCCAAAAAAAAAAAAAAAGTATGGAAATTCAGTACCATATTCCACTTTTTTTATTAATCAAAATGAAAATGTGTGAGTGGGGTACAATGAGGACTTCAGTCCTAAAAACCAAAACTTTTTCAAAGTTACTATTCTCATTTCAAATGATCATAAGCTAACATTTGACAATGCCTAGCAATTTTGATGGTACTATAGAAGTTAACTATTTGAATATATTTAAATTTCTAAAATTAATTTTAAATGAACACTAATTTAACGAAACTCCAATCAATATTCTTTGGACCATAATTGGCGCATGCTCCACCATACCACACTGTCGTTACACACTCTTTTTTCTATTAATTTCTGTTAACTCCCACACTCCATTAGTCTCCATCCTCACCAGATCCATCTTCCTCCTCACTTCCATTCTCATCCTCATTCTAATCATCTGCAGGACAATTGCCAGCCATCTCAAACCAAACACCCATCCGATGGGAGGGATCCCACCTCCAAGATTAGCTCTGATCATCTCCCTCGCTACCTCTTCAAAAACCCCTCTATTCAGAAGGTTACCTAAGGCAAAAATCAACTCCCAATTCCAACACCAGACCCCTTGTCCAAGCCGCACTCCTTCGTCGAGGAAAAACTCCAACAAGAATCAAAAGCCAATTTGGGTTCTTATAGAACCCAGATGCAAATGTAGAACCTAAGCAAAACCCAGATCAGAGCAAGGAAGAGAAGGAAGAAGAGGGGGAGGAGAGGGAAAGAATATCAAAGAACCATGGCTGGGTGAAGAGGAAAGTTGTGCTGGGTGAAGAGGAAAGTTGTGCTGGGTGAAGAGGAAAGTTGTGCTGGGTGAAAAGGAGTAACAAGAGAAACAAAGATAAATAGAGACGAGTGAGTGTGTGACGGAGGGTGTAATGATCGAGTGTGCATATATCATTCTCCATATTCTTTTACCTTTATTCCAATGAGAATATATTAATTATTGGACGAACTTTTTTTAATCAACATTTTTCTTTAATTAGTAATTAATTCTTTCACCATGGACAAGTGGAATCCAATGTCGTACAACCTTAGGTCGGAAGATATTGCTGTCAAGAAACTAAGATGAGTCAACATGAAAACAAGCTAGTGGTAGCCTAGTACTATGGACATGAACAGGCAATGTTCTTGAGATGAATAATCCAAATAGATCAAAGGTTTTAAGTTCATTAAGTACTAAGATATTCAAAGAAAAAGTTAATGAACATTTATCCTTTTATTGTTGGAATTGTAGGTACTAGCTACTTTTTCCGGCCTCTTGTCAAATTTTTGGTTTTTGCGATTAATCCATCTTCCCCCTGCTCCGATTTGTTTCATTCAAAATATATAAACAACACAAGGAAAAGGTTAATACTCCACATGGCTAATTGGTTATAGCCACCTTCATTCCTCAAATTTTGTCGAAGTATCCCACACCTTAATTAATATTGACTACTAATCCTGATGATACTTGATGAACTATAAATAAAGGGATCCAAAATGAATATAAATCCAAATTTGACCAAAAGAATTTCATATATCTTTCATGTGGAACTGTATAATAAAAATATAGGTTGGACATTAAAATTATCAAAATATTCCTTATAAAATAACATAAAAAATATATTGTTAATGATATTTTAATAAATTTATTAGTCAAATTACACAAACTACTCTTCTATTATGCAATATAATCTAAAAAATACTTTGTGACAAAAATATGGGAGATATAATATCACTTAATTAACACTCTCTTCACATGTAGGCTATTAACAAATTTTTTTTTTTATAGATAACAAGGTGTTAACAATGCATAATATATTAAAACTCGCGTATATTTTTTGATATGAGATTTTTAGACTTTAACACTAATTAAACCGGGAATCGGGTTTGTTAATCATAAGTACAAGCAGAAAGTTGAGAGAAAAAAGAATCTTGCCCGGGAATAAAGTGCTGGACAGGGATTGATCGGGGAAATGGATAATTGAACAGAACCACGGAAGACCCTTGTTTGACACATAGCAACTTGTCTGGTTAGAAAGAGAGCTAAAGGCCTAATGCAAAGAACATATCACCTACATAGTTATGCACCCCCCAGACGACTTTGGATTCCGATCATAGAAAAGGACATGGGTGGGGGGTCACCCAACTTTGGTCCCTCCCCAATCAAACACTTTCGTGCATTGTATCCCAAGCTAATTACCATCTTATACGCTTCTTCTGCTTTGTTTTAGTGTCTTATTTTCGTTCCCAAAGTGTAATTTTCAGAGAAATATTAATGAAATGAAAGGGCAGAAGTTCCTTAATTGGTAAGAGCTGCTGCCACTAGTGTCAATTTATTGGATTGGACTATGGATCTCTAATTGTTTCATTTTAGTCTACAAATTCAGTGGAATTTGTATTTTGTAATTTGTGAGTTGATACAAAAGAGATTCCAGTTGGGAGAAATGTATAGATGATCAAAGGTAAACCAATTTTGGGCCCAGAGAAGCACTGAAATTGTTTGGGCCCAAGTTGTTCAATGCAACTTGGCCCATGAAAGAAAAGGAAGCCAAGAGCCCAATGGCAAAACAGTCGATCCATTTCACTTTTTTTTTTCTTCCTTCCTTTCTTCTTTTTTTTTTTTTTTTTTTGAAATAGGGAATATTAAACACAGAAGATAAAATGAAAATAAAAAAATTATAATATTACGTGATATTATAAATTTATAATTATAATATACTATTATATAATTGATACAGGTTCATAGGATCCACTTAAAAATTTAATATTCTCCTCAAGAACCAACATTAATAATATTAAATAAAACAATTCAACTCAAAACTTTTCATTCACTATTAGAAAAAGCTTTATTTCAGATAAAATATTTCGGATAAGAAAATATTTTGACAGAAAAAAGACTTAATTCGATCAAATATATTGACCAAAATAAAAGAGCACCAATTGGTGCTACCGTTAATTCAGTCAAGTATTTTATCCGAGTTATATTAACAATAAAATAGTAAATATTTCGGTCATAAATTTTGACCGAATTAATTAAGTAATATTTGTTCTAATTTAGTTATATTTTTTGGTCAAAAATTTTGACCAAAATAATTGTCTCTTTCTTAAAAAAAAATTGTACTAATATGATGCTTTCTTTTTTTAATTTTGTTTAATTTTCAATAAAACAATTTCAATCAAGCATTTTGACCGAAATAATTGTCTCCTTTTTTTTTTTAAATTCTATTAGTATGATTCTTTCTTTTTGTAAATTTTTTAAATTTTTATGAAACTATTTCGGTCAAGAAACTTGACCGAAATAATTGTCTTCCTTTTAAAAAAATTTTTTTTTTCTATAGAAAATTACTATGACACTTTCTTTCCTAAATTTTTTTAATTTTCTATGATATTATTTTGATCAAGCATATTGACCAAAATAAATCTCTCTTTTTTTATTAATTGTATTAGCATTGCACTCTCTTTCTTTTTCTTTTCTTTTTTTTTAATTTTCTATAAAACTATTTCGGTCAAGCATCTTGACCGAAATAATTGTCTCTTTTTTTTTTAATTATATTACTATGGCGCTTTCTTTGCTAAGTTTTTTTAATTTTCTAAGAAACTATTTCGGTCAAGAATCTTGACCGAAATTATATTGTTTTGGCTCCAAGAATTAAATGAAATTTCTTAAATTTTCCGCCAAAATTATTTCGGTCAAAATTTTTATCTGAAATTAATGTTTTGGCTCCACAAATCAAGTGAAACATTTTGAATTGTCCACCAAAACTATTTCGGTCAAAATTTTTGACTGAATAGTCTAAACACTTTAGGCACTTTAAATTGTATTTTACACATTTCCTTCTTCCTTTTTTCTGCTTTTCCACTCATTCCGCCTTCAACGCCCATATTTCTCATCTTTCTCTTCCTTTTAATTACTTCCCCTCCTTATTTCTCTTTCCTTCCATCATTTTCTTTCATTTCTTCCTTTTTCTCATCTTCTCTGTTCTTCACTTTCCCTTTTCTTTCATTCATGCTTCTCATCCTCTCTTCCATTTTCTCACATTCTTTTTTCCTCATACATTCCTTCCTTTAGTTTCACCTCCTTAAATTTCTCTCATTTTCTTTCTTCCTTTACTTTAATCTTATTAGTTTATTTCTTTTACAATTTACAAGTTTGTTTCAATTAATATTGATATCAATTTTATTTTTTGCAGGATTTTATAGTAGAAATTAAAGGTATTTTAAGG